TACATATGTACATGCCTTTATTTAGACCTCTATAAATGCACTTTGCCTCCTAGTTTTTTTCTCTATTTCTTTTTATTTTCCTCTTGTCCCACTATCATGCTCAGCCTTCATTTGTGATTCAGTAATTTCTCTCGATTACATTACCCTTGAACACACCCAGCCTACCAGGCCTACCAAACCCTTCTCACCACCAATTTATATCCCTTGTTTTATGTTGTGCCAGGGTTTGTTAACACCACTTCATTTCTGCCCCACTCCCCCACTGCCACTGCTCCCATGCCCCCCCAGAACTTTCAGTCCTGTTGCTTTCTACTCTAGATTGTTCATCTAGCCTAACTTATTTAGACAGACCTGTGGAGATAATAACATGCACAAAAACAAGACAGAGCACACCCAAGCAACAAAAGAAAAGAAAACAACAACAAAAATTCAATGACAAAACAAAACAAAACAACAACAACAAACGTAAAACTTGTAGTTTTTTCAAGGACTGTTTGTTGGCCTTTAGGAGTATTTTCTGGTTGAGTCTGATGGGGTTCCAAGTCCGGGACCCAAAGTCTGTTTTTGGTAATCTCTGGGGACTTTGTTTCTCTGTTACTCTTGCTGTTCTCTTGCATGCCCTTAGTGTTTTGCCTCGGTGTGGTGGGCTCAGACTGGGCCCTTATTTTTTTCTTTGCCTCCTCTATGTTGTCAAATTGTTGTCCTTTCATGTCCCTCTTCGTTTGCGAAACAAAAAGAAAGTCACAGTGAGGTCAGTTGAGTCAGGTGTGTGGGGCAAGATGCCCAAACCTGACTCACTGAGATGGTTGCATGAGCATGGGCACTGTCGTGGTAGTAATACCAGTCCAGGGTCTGCCACAAATCAGGCCTTTGTTGTTGCACACAAATCTTTTTGTTGCATACAAAGATTTTGTTGCATACAATCTTTTCCGAACCTCTTAATCAGCGGTTTAAAACTGTGGGTCACGACCACTTTGGGGGCCAAATGACCCTTTCACAGGGCTCACCTGATTCATAACAGTAGCAAAATTACAGTTATGAAGTAGCAACAAAAATAATTTTATAGTTGGATTCACCACAACATGAGAAACTGTATTAAAATTCGCAGCATAGGAAGGCTTCGAACCACTGCTCTAAGTAGAGAGTTTGATTAACAGGGTGATCTGGTGGAACCAATTCCAAATGCACTATCTACCTCACAATAAAAAAAAATTGAGCATCACCTTGATCTTTGATTGCACTTGATGAGATTTTTGGGCAAAGTGAGGGTGACGTCTTCCACTGGCTTGATTGATTTTTGCTTTTGTGGTCAAAAGAATAGCACCATGACCCATGGCCTTGGGAAAAATGTCTGTGTTGCTTCAGAACTGTTCTTTCAAAGCACAGCATGTTTCCACTAAATGCTCATTTTCCTGGTCAGTTAGAATTTGAGGCACAAAATTCACAGCGACCCTTTTCATATCCAACTCTGGCAAAATTTCACTGTACCAAACTCCAAGATAGTCCAGATAACTCCTCCATCTCTTCAATGATCCATCTTCTGTGTGAGCACAAGGGTACTACTTTTGTAGACATTTTCATCCATTTGGGAAGTTGACAGATGTCCAAAACAAGGTTTGTCATCAACCGACATTTCACCTTTTCTGAAAAGAGAAAAGCACTGTACACTTGAGTTTTTCCCCATAGCGCTGTCCTTGTGAGCTGTGTTCAATATGGCAACAGTTTTTGCAGCATTTTCCCTGAGCAGGAAACAAAATTTCACAGCTACATGCTGTTCTCTTAAATTGGTCATCACAAAAAACGAGGTTTGAGCGAAACTGTTTTTACAAAAAAATTCACTGTGACCAGAGAAAACCTTCTCAGGCAATGCCACTGGTGAAGTTGTTGGATGTTCTCCTAGCTGGAGAAAAGCTTGTAACCCAGGCCATTCTGGGGAGGGGCAGCCTCAATCGAAGGAACTTGCTTGATTGTGCCCTTCCTGAAAATTGGGGTACTAGGGCTGTACGTCTGGGAGTCATCGTCAAACCAATTGGCAAGAAGGCCCCAAATTGTTACTGTAAGCTTTTCTAATCTGCCCCGGTGTTCATGTCCTGATCATGGTCTCTTTCCTGTTCTGGGATCTCACCCATACCTGTGATGAGTTGATTGATGTCATCATGATTTTGTGATGATTTCCTTTTCGTTCCACATTCCATTTGAGTAGCTGAGAGGGCTGTGGACCCTGTGGACCCCATTCTGGCTTCATACTGTCTCCCTTATTCAAATGAATTGGTTTCATCTTTTTCTTGCATAAGTCCTAATAAAGGGGTCACTGTAAGACATATTCGAAGTCAGAGTTCTTTTTAATTTATTAAATACTGTCATAATATAGACTAAATTTTTAAGCATTTGGTTGATTAAGCACTATAAGTGAAATGTTTCTTATAATTAATTGACTTAATTTCTGATTACTTTTTGTGTATTTGTAATTCTCAAGGTTAAAAACCAATATTTGGACAGTTTCAGGACAAGAGAATTTCTACTCATCAAACACAAACACCACTATGGGTGTTCATGGTTCTTCCTTAGAGAATGAGTGTTACTGAAAGCTTGGCTCTATCACCCCATTGTTTGTGCAAACAGTGTCTATTCGCCTAAGATATTAATCTGCGCAAGTCAACAATTTATGTACTTCAGTCTGAAGCCAGTCTATGTTCCCATAATTGCCTTTCTTTCTTTCTTTCTTTCTTTCTTTCTTTCTTTCTTTCTTTCTTTCTATTTTAAATAAATTCCTTTTTTAACAGTTTTATAAACTCCATTCCATTGAATAATGACACTATCAGTAGAATTACCTTATGGCCCAGTCCTCTATCATAAAATGATAATGATGTCTCTAAAGTGAACCAGACATATATATAAACCACAGATCTATGAATGGGTTTGTGGCTCACACTTAATTCTAGCCCCAGTATAAGAATAATTAGTACTTATGAGATGGCCTGCTTAAAGCTCACCTGCATGAAGGGTCACTGGAGATCACCTCATTATGGTCAACTCTACTTTGAGAAGGCATAGTGCATATTTTGGGTGTCTTCTGACCTAAGGGGTTCATCTTTTCCCATGGTCTCTGGCAATAGTCTCCTTCTATTCATTACGCCTTCAGTATCTGACAATGTTTTGATGCTATCTAGAAAGTTTTCAGCTGCTAATTCCTTGGAAGCGGACATCATTTTTATTCTTCATAGTCTGCTCATAGCCTGGAAGCTCTGCTGAAATCTGCTGGCATTTGAGATTACAGTAACATAGCTTCCAGCATCACAGCAATACACCGGCCACCAAGGTACGACCAACTGACAGACCAGTGGTGAATTGAAGCAAACGGTTATTGAAATTAAAAAAAAAGAAACTTGATAAATGGATAAAGTTTCTGTTCCACAAAGCTAGGGAACAATGGTAAAATAAAAATTACATATGAGGTTAAAAAAACCACTAATACACAGTTCTAGACAATAAAGAAATCAAGCTTATGAAAGAGAAACTAAGGGCTATGAGAAATTAATGAAGAAGTTCCCAGCACATCTGACAGGAAGGGGACCCAGAAGAAAAAAAAATAGGTAAAATGTAGGAGATGCTGTTTAAAGAAATAGCTGCTGAGAATATTCCAGAGTCGAGAGAACGGACAGCAGAACATTTAAGAAAAAGACTCAGTAGTCACACTACCTGGGTTTGAAGCTCATCTTTGCCAATTTCTATCTTGAATTATTGGGTCAATTACTCAACATTTGAAAATGAGGATGTGTTGCTTTCGTAACTAAATGAGTTACTATGTGTAAAATACTTAGGTAGAACAACCCATTCTAGTCAGTGGTCAGTGAGACATTGTCTAGTTTTAGGTCTCTCCCATGTACTTGGTGTCAAGTTATTACCTAATGACCCGGTGTGACCACTTTTCCACACTCCCACTTCTCAATTCTCCTTTTCCTCTCCTCTCTTGCAAAAATAAATGTGATTTTGAATAGTGCGTCACCAATTCAAATGACCTGTTCATGTAGTTGTCTGTCTCTCCTCACAGAGACAAATGCTGTCTTCCCACTGTCCTTTTAGGGAGAGAGGGCACTTTCAGACATGCGGAGAATATACCTCTTGGTAATTAACTCAATAAATATCTCAGGAACTAGCACTTCATTGTTTTCACTCCATCTTTTTTTATTACTTTGAGCAAAGCAAGCAAGCAAAACAAAACTAAGTTTGGCTGAATTTTTCATATTTCACCTGTATTGCATCACGTTATAATCTATCACTAAAAGAATAAAAATAGAAGTAAATGATTTTCTGTGACAAATGATGAGAGAAAATCTGAATACTGTCAAGAGACAGATAGACCTTACTGGGAAAAAAAACCCACCCTTTTCCCCACGTGACTCTGGTTTTAACTATATTTCACAGGGATCTATGAGTTTGGCCAGTTGTCTTTTAGAACACTTTTATATATCAATGTGTGGAATTTTTAGATGACCCAAAGGTTATTTTATTTCTGATGGTCATAATTAATTTGTTCTAACCCTTCTGTCTCCCTGTTTGTTCTTTAAGAATTTATAACATAAGTCTTTAAGTATTCACCGTAATGCATATGTGAGCTCAGATTTACTTTTACAATAAAGTAACTATGAAAAGCTTCAAAATACAAAAGGAATGATTTTATTGTTCACATTAGAATGTGTTAATTTAAAGAAACCATAAAGATAAATAAGCCTAAATATTAATCATATATGTCTAACCTGGGTATTGTAGGCATATTTTTACATGTGATTCCAAACAGCACAATACATATATAACACATCAGCTACATCAACCGGTATTTCAAACACCAATTCACCTTGAGAATTATATGGTCAATATGCAATTTGTTCATCTATCTTTCACTCATATTTATTTTAAATAAGTTTTTGTTAAACACATACAATCTAAACAATTTGAGATGCAGTACAAATTCCAATCTCAACTATCTCATTGCCACTTCTTTATGCTTCAGATGCAGTCTCTGGATTTCTCCAGCGATAGTTCCTTCTGACTGCCTTGATCAAGGCCCTCTTTACGTCCTTGTTCCTCAAAGTGTAGATCAGTGGGTTTAGCACAGGGGTGACCACAGTGTACATGATGGCAATGACCCGTTCCTGCTCCATGGAGCTGCCTGAGGAAGGACGAGCATACGTGACTAGAACAGGAACATAAAAAAGAGTAACTACCATGAAGTGGGAAGCGCAGGTGGATAATGCTTTGTGAAGCACGCTGCAAGAACGGGTCTTGAAGAGGAGAGAGGTGATGATGTAGGAATAGGAGAGAAGTGTAAGGAAGAAGGGGCACATGGCAATGGTCCCCGTGACAGTGTTCAGCAGCCACTGGTTGAGATCAGTGTTCCCACAGGCCAACTCTAACAATGGCTTAATATCACAGAAGAAGTGATGGATGTGGTTGAAACGACAGAAGTTCAAGTTAGAGGTCATTATGGAGTGCATCAGGGCATGGGAAAATCCAATGACCCAGACAGTGCCAGCCATCTGGGTACAGTGCTGATGATTCATGATGACAGTGTAACGAAGTGGCTTGCAGATGGCCACAAAACGGTCAAAGGCCATCACAGCCAGTAGCATGGCCTCTGTGCTGCCCAGGAAATGAAAGAAATGAAGCTGGCTGATGCATCCCACAAAGGAGATTGCTTTGTTTGGAGAAAGAAAATTCTCCAGCATCTTTGGCAATGTCACGGTGGAGTAGCAGATATCTAGACACGATAGGTTTCCCAGGAAGAAATACATAGGTGAATGGAGTTTGGGATCACGGATGACAATCATCAGGATAGCTCCATTTCCAGCCACATTGATCAAATAGATGGTGAGGAAAACCACGAAGAGAAAGGGCCACAGTTCTTGGATATCTGTCACTCCCAAAAGGAGAAACTCAGTGACTGAGGTTTGGTTCAGCATCACTTAAAAGCAAAAGACAAAATGATACAATGAACATTATTACTAATGAGAATTTCATTGCAGAAATAAAAAATATTTTGAGAGAATATATAGTTGATCCCAGCCTCAGGGATTTTATGGAATACCATGCTTGGTAAAATACAAAGTCATCAAGGAAGGATGAAGTTTCTCAAGGAGATGGATTGACTCTGTGGCTGCAACAATAGCCTCAAACATAAAATCAATTGTGAAGATGGAGCAGGACTGGGAAGTGCTTTGTCCTCAGGGTTTCTGTGAGTGGGAATTGACTTGAGTCCCCTTAATAATAGCAACCACAATCACCTAAGAGAGTTTACAGAATGTGAGTTATTAAATTGTTAAATATCAAAGCTCTATCGTTAAATTAGATAATTATTAAATATCAAAGTTTTTTTTACTATGTCTTAATCTTCAAAATACTCGACATTAGATGAATCAGACATCGAGAGCATATTGTTGGGCTCTCATCTTGAGTGTCTGTGTACATCTATATTTGGATACAATTTTCCTTTGTGTCTTCCTATGTCAGCACTATTAGTGCTCTGTTTTAGAAGTGGTTCACCATACTCTTATTTCTAAACCTAGTATGAATCTGCTTGGAAGAATTTAAACTTTTACAAAATAGAAAGGGATAAATTACTTACAACCGTAAAATCTTTAAAGAAACAAACCCTAAATGCCCTTTAAAATAGCAGTATCTGTGTTCCCTTGTCTTAGAACGTAAATGAGTATTGATCCCTTTAGGAAACACACCCCTGGGACCCCGGTGCAGTCTTTGCTGGGAGAAGAAAGGAGGCCGTTGTCATCAGATATTATCAGCAGAGGTATGTTTAAGGCTTCATCACTGTTGTAACTGCTGTGTGTTAGCACGGGCCTTAATATTTTCACAAAATCAGATCCTCAAATTACTTCTTTTATGATAAATTATATAATCCTTCCATTTTCTGTTTGCTCTGGAATCTTTCTCACTAACCAGATTCTGAGTCTCTGAGGAAGTAATATTATCACCCAATACTGATCTGTCCTGTAAGTAATCAGTGGCTTCAGGCCACTTTAACTATCTTGTCATCTATTTCCTTAAATCCTATTCTTTTTTAAAAAAATCATTTTATTGGGGGATCGTGCATCGTTTATAGCAATCCATATATCCATCCATTGTGTCAAGCACATTTGCACATTTTTTGCCAACATCATTCTCAAAACATCTGCTTTGTTCTTGAGCCCCTGGCATCAGCTCCTCATTTTTTCTCCTCACTTCCCTTTCCCCTCCTCCCTCATGGATAATTTACAAGTCATTATTATTTTGTCATATCTTACACTGTCCAACGTCTTCCTTCACCCACTTTTCTGTTGTCTGTCCCCCAGGGAGGAGGTTATATGCAGATCCTTGTAATCTGTTCCCCCTTTCCAACCCACCCTCCCTCCATCTTCCCAGTATTGCCACTCACACCACTGGTCCTGAAGGGATCATCCACCCTGGATTCCCTGTGTTTCCATTTCCAATCTGTACCAGTGTACATCCTCCAGTACAGCCAAATTTGTAGGGTAGAATTGGGATCATGATAGTTGGGAGGAAGTATTCAAGAACTAGAGGAAAGTTTTCTGTTTCATTAGTGCTATACTGCAACCTCATTGGCTTGTCTCCTCCCTGAGACCCTTCTGTGAGGGGATGTCCACTTGCCCACAAATGGCCTCTCAGTCCTCACTCTGCACTCCCCCTCATTCACAATGAGGTGCATAAATCCTTTTCTTATTTCCCCTGAAATAACATTACCTTTCAGATGTTCAGTAATATTCCAACTCAAGTGAATATTACCTTCTTCACATCTAAGTCCATGAATCTGATACTTACGTTCATGTTACCTTATTTGACCCTCAAAACCTGTCCCCTGCAAAGCAGCTCTCCCCCAATTCGTTAGAAATTCCAGCACTTCTCCTTCAAAAACGGTTTTTGCCCTTTCTCTCAAATAAATTCTTGTTTCCTATTAAAGTAATGTATTACTTTTCACTTCACTTGCAAATTTGGTGGAAAAGTGTTTTCATTCATGTTAAGGGGATAGAGGAATTGTAAGTTCATTAGAGTAAGGTTTGCTATTTACTAAATGCATACTATTCACAGGGAGGTGGAAATTTTTTCCAATTTCTTTCCTTTGTTATTTGAAAAGTACACGGTGCTATTTCTTTTATGTTCATTGGCAAAATCAGACACACATTTGTGACATAGCTGCCTCTTTACCCATTTCATGTGCAATTGAAGTGGCTTAACACTTGCTCATTGGGAGGAAGAAAATTGGAATATGAGGTAACTTTATAGGGAAGGGAAGCATTGAAGAAAATATGAATTATTAAAAAATTGAAGAGATGCAGACATTTCAGTGTTTACCAAAAAGGGGAGAATCATTCAAGGCTTTACAACCCACTGACAGGAGAAGAAAATGTTTTCAAGTGACTAGAGTTAAAAAACCGAATGAAATAGGGTGCATTTTTAAGGTATTTAAGGTTCTCTACAGCTTTTAAATTCTGAGAAATTATCTAATTTGTACTACGCTTCCATGAAGAAATGGCTTCAAATTATTCAGAGTGATTTTTTTTTTTAGGGGAGTGGGGTAGTATATATATTGTATTTTTAAGACTTTTGTTTTTCCTAAAATGCAGATACATATTAAAAGTTGCAGCTTAAAATACAAATAACATGACAAATATAAATT